AACAGGTTTCTTGGCAGATGTGAAAAAGGTACTTAATTGTAGAAGCTTACAGGCAACATCAGTTTTTATAGTTTAGATTTTACTCACATTATTCAACTAATGTTATCAGAAAGATTTTATCAGATCTTCAGAATGTTTCTCATCTCAAAATTTAGCTTAACTGCAAGATATTTGTCTTCTTTCCTTCTTTAATAATTGTACCTTTTCATACACCACTTTAAATAGCTTAGTATGATATTTTTAAAATTAATGTTCTCAGGAACATCTCTCATTACGGTGTTTGAATAGTTTTCTTCTATTGCTGTGGTCTAATGCTCTGAGTCTTTTTCTTTTAACATAGAGCTATTTTAAAGTTACAATTATGAACTAGTAATTCTGAGAGTAGCTGTTGCATATTAATGAATAGGTGATACACAGGTTTTCTACAAAGGTTAATGGTTGTTTTTGTACAAGTTTAGGAGAGTTGTGTTAATTTGAGAAAATTTTGTCAGCAACACATAGTGCTTTTCTCATTTTGTATCTACACTAGAGAACTGTGTTCAGATTTAAATGCTGAATAACCAAAGAACACATTTGTCATTTAAAATATTGGATTATTCAAATTGTTCAGATTACTAGGTGGATTAATGAATCAAGAGAATGAAACTCAGACCTCAGTTTAATACATGTGGATGTGCCTGACACCATAATTTTGCATGGTAGAAAACAACTCCCACATCCTTACATGTAAACAAATCTAGCAACTCCAAAACTCTGAACACTACTCTGATTTAATACAAAAATCAATGAAAAATACACAGTACTCTTCAAATATTAGATTTATTGCTGCAATATATGCAAGGAAAAAGGAAAAAATATCAATATTAAAAACTACAAATCTCAAGAAAACTTAAAAAAGTATTTGTATTTTTTAAAGTTTAAATAATTCATAAGGCAGAAAAGTTGAGTGATACAGAACTGAAGTATTTTAACCACATAAACCTTGAAAGACTGAGTTTCTAATGGCTGAGGATCCACCTGTTATTTGCAGATAGAGTTGCAACATCAGCAAGAATGATCTGATAGTTAATATTGTCTTAAGGGAGGCTGCAGAACTCAGAAATATCTGCTAAATTCTTCAAGTCTCCTTCCAGTCCATGTCTGGATCCTGTCTGAACAGGAGAAATGCATTCCATTACAGCTATCAAACACTTGAAACTTGGTTAAATCTGACTTTTTAGATATTTGTTTTACAAAAGTCAGTATCCAGCATAATTCAAAAAAACATGCATATGTTAAGATTACAGTCTACACAGATTGAACTTTGTGTGTGTAGTGGTAAAAGGGAATTAAATTTTAGATGCTTGGTGATTAAATAACTATTGTGCAGCATGTGTAGGTGACACACCATAAACAAATTTGGTTTGTATATATTTATACACACACACACTCATAGATATACAGATAGATATAGATTAGATATAGAGATAGATAGATAGATAGATAGATAGATAGATAGATAGATAGATAGATAGATAGACAGATAGACAGATAGGTAGATTAGATATAGATAGATATAGAGACAGGGCATAGGCATAAGCATAGGCATAGGCATAAATAGATATAGCTGTGAGGGACACATCCTGGTAACAGGAATTTATAATTAAAATAGAGGAGCATCACATGAAAAGAAAGAAATAATTTACTTCCTCAAAAGAGAATTTTTTAGGGGACAATTCTTATTTTATGAAGGTTTATTAATCCAGTGTACTAGCAGATAGGAGAGGAAAGCAGTCATTTAATTTGATAGTTTTACAGATCAGATTTATGTAACAAAAAGAGACTATAATCCAAACATTTAAAAGATAACTTCTAAATTGTGACTCAAAATTGACCTATTATTAATGAATGGAATTTGACATAGAAAATTTCTTTGCTTTTGCTGTAAGTATTTAATCAATATAAATAGAAATCTATGCTAAATTATTAATATTTTGGAATTAGACTTACTGAAGTCTTCCTGCATTAACAGAAGGGGATTGGAAAAGTTAAAGAAATGGACATTTTGGTCATTGCTTTTGATTTAATATCAACATAAATACAAGGGAGAAGCAACACCTCCGATAGCATATATGAGACAGCAGATAGATGAATCATTGCAGAGGCTCTGATAAAAATACATTGACCTCACTCCAACATTCAGTCAAAACCTCAATCTTTTGTTGTTTGTATGAACTTTTCTTCAGAATGTGGTAATTAAAAAAACCCAAAGTAACAGATTGAATTTTGTGTGGGGTTGTTAATCTCTCTGGTCAACTAATTGTTGTTTTACCTATTAGCATATTAGCACACAGATTAAAATTTACAGAAGTTTTTTGTGTGTATGCATGATATTTAGAAGTTATTCAGAATCGCATTTGAGTCCTCCAGTGCTACTGAGTTCAACCAGAAAAACAAATCTAGAAATCCGTATCTATTTAGAAAATGGAGAAATACATTCTAATTAGTTATAAACTGAGGTCTTGGACCTATTATTTGTCCAAGACTGCCTTGTCAATTTAAACCTTTATATGTTAAGCCCATCACATGAAAGTTAAAAGTCAACACCCCATCTCTATATCTCAGATAGCTGATAAAAAACTACACTCAAACTGAGAAGGTGCCTAAAGCTACCCAAAAACTCGTGGAAATGAAAGGGTCTTAAAATCTACCCTTTTGAAATTTTGACAATCAAGACAGAAATTATTTTGGATCTGTCTACATTAGCAAGTAGGGAAGTCTGCTAAGACCCGAAGTCATCAAGAAAAACTATTGATGCTGAGGATCTGACATCCACACTATAAATGTTTCAGAGTGCTTTTCCTAGGAGTAGGATGGTTTGGTCCTGTGGCTGACCGTTCACTAGTGCTTGCAGCATATCAGGAGTAGACCTTCCAGTTCAGTTCCACCCAAAATAAATTCAGTTTGTATGTGCATGATGTGAATCAAAGCACAGTCAATGAGAAAACTTCAGAGATTCTCTTGCAAAGTGCATTCTCAGTATGAGTGAAAGCATCAGTGTAGATTCATCCTTCATGTACTGAGAAGCCACAAAGTCTAGACTCTTCAGAAGGGTTATCTGTATTCATTCTTAAAAAGAGCTACGTGGATGGTGGTGATGGTCCCTGAATGATGATGTGAAGCAGTAGGCTACAGCATCATGCTCTGCTCATCTCATCTGCTCCCTGATACACTCAGATATGAGGTATTTTGCTGCAGTGGCCCAGCTTTACTGGGAGAGAGCAAAATCCTTCTTTAAATACAATATCCTGGCAAAGAGAAGCTCAGAGTTAAAAACTTTTGTGCTAAAGAGGACATTTTCCCATTCTGTGGTGAGTAAAAGCAATTCCTCAATGTCAATTTAAGAGAAAATGTAAAAAACAAATATTATTGGAGGAGCCAGATCCTGCAGACATATGTCAAGGAGTGTTCTTTAATTGCCTGCCACATGGGATCCCTCACTGGATATAAGCTTTCATTCACCATTTTTTGGGGTGGATCCTCATGGAAAGATGGCACTGAGTGTCTAAGACTGAATGAATTTACAGCATGGCCCAAATCAAACAATCTAGACACTGAAAATTTCATAGCCAAAGTGTCAGAAGCTCCCAGTAAGTTCAGGCACTATCAGGTTTGGGTATATCAAGCAGTGTTTTATACTTTAATTTTGACTGTAGACACGTGTACTTAAGTGCTGCTTCTCAAAAAGGTGTGGTTTAAATGTATAACAGTTACCCCTTGTGAGAAGAAATGGCTATTATGGAAAATGAAGCATTTTTTTATAACAAGCAATTTTCATTGCTTGATATTAGAAATTTATTACCAAATACAGAAGTGAGGTATGATTGAGTTTTTCACTGATTTCTTGACAGCAACAGATGTAGTCAAGTACAACTTCTGTAGCAAATCCAGCAGTTCGCCTTAACCTGTGGTTTAATCCAAGAGATATCACCAGACGTGTGGATTACGTCAAGACCTCAGGACTGACTGAGAGCAAATACTGCAGAATTATCAGTATGTTGAATATGAACACATAATCACAATACATCCCCTGCTTCAAAAGGTAGCAAATAGAAAATGTGCTTCTAATTAGGCAATCATCGTTCATGATGTCTGACTGTAGTTTAGGAAACTACATTAGGATATTAGTCACATTAATTTCCCACATAGGGAAAAGGGAGGTTCTTTCTGAGACTGAGTCAGGGTATGTATAATTGGTAAAGCCTGAGATTACTTTCAGGTTGTGTCTCTGTTGATCAGAACTGAAGCATGCACCAGTGTGCTCTAATCCTGCCTCCCTCAGGAGAGAAACCAGGCCATGAAGACTGACAGACATCAAAGTATCTGCTCATGAAGTCTCTAGCTAGGGCTATGTGATGATCCACAATTCAAGACTGATCTACACAGGCCCTTCTGGCACCTGGATTAGGTCCCTGGTATTGTTTAGTTCTCGCCTTTGGTAAGTCAAATACTGGGCATAGTCTCTCTCACTTCTATTTCCTTTCTCTTCTCACAATTTTCCTCCTTTTCACCTTCTTTATGGTACACTGCCCCTTCATATCCAGACCCACAACCTTCCACTCAGAGTATAGTATGGCAAAGTGGGACAGCATACAGAGAGCGTGGAGGTAGAATAAACAGAGGGTTTTTTGCCAAAGGTGACCGCCACTGTCCTGGTAGTGTTGACAATGTCTCTTACAAGGTTAATCTTACAAGGTTCCTTCTCCAGAAAGAGAGGTTTTACTCTAGGGGAGTTACGAGGAAGTCTGAATAACCTTCTGGAGGCACTTCTTTCACTAAGGATAGAACGTTTCTAGAAAGATTGATCTCACTTAAGTGAAGTGAGACTTTTTTAATATTACCTTCTATTTAAATATGGTAAGCTCTTCAAGTCAGGGCCTTCCTTGCATGTCCATAAGCACCAAAATTACTTGGCAGTAGTAGATTAAATACATAGTTAGTTTTTATAATTGATATCATACCTTTTGGCAGAATTAAACTCTGTCTCAATGTCCTGGACTTCTTCCTTTTGAACCCTGCAGAGAATAGACATATGAATAAACTCCATGGAGTAAACTCCAAGGGTATGTGGAAGGAGAGAGCATCTGCTCCTTTAAGAGTGTATGGTCAAGGGCTTCTTCAGTAAAAAAAGGGGACAGTAAGAAAAGAAGGAACCCATAAACAAGAACATACAGAGATGCAAGCTGACAGACAAATGTAATGGAGACAAAGGCAAGAAACAAAGCTGGTCAGTCACAGTAGTTAATGGGCTATCAAGAAGCAGCAAAGAAACCTGGACTTCGGAAACCTGAGGGTGGAGGATGATGGAGGGGTGTTGATGGAGGTATGCACACTGATGAGGGGGAAGGGGGAGCAGGGAGGAATGAAGGGAAGAACTGACAGAAAGGGGTATCAAAAGGGGCTGCTTGTGTGTAAAATGGGGCCTGTCAAAAAGGTTGTCTGATGGAGCCCTACACCTGATCACCACAGTCTGTCCTGTCGTTTTACTGCATCCTTTCTTAACTATCTCTGTGCATGATCTCCCTCTGTCCCATGTGGGTGAGTGCTGCAAGGACTGAGTGCCAGCTACTGGAGGGCTGGAGTGAGTGAGACAAGGGAGGGCCTCAGCACTGGTGGCTGGAACAGGACCGCGGTTCACAGCCCAAGTGCCCGGTGCTGGTAGGGGTGGGGCCAGGTGTCTGTGTCACTCCCAAACTGGGTGTATGTGGGGCGCGCATCTGTTATTCAACAACAGACTCCAAGCTGGACTCACCAGTACATACGAGGCCCTGGGTTGGAGCACTAATACCAGGCAGGTAGAGCCTGTGGGGATGGGTGGGTGTGGGGTGCCTGTGCAACAAGCGTGTGAGTGCGTAGGTCTATTTTCAGCAAGAACTGAGTTACACCAGCTGGCAAACGGGGAACCTGTGGGGTGGGTAAGAGGGTCAGGGGTCCTGGCAGGGGTGTCAAATGAACAGAGGGACCATGCTGGTACTCGGGGGATCTGTGACTGCGTGTACTTGTGAGCCTGGAGAGTGGTGTGAGTGTGTGCCTGCACTAGTGACCTCCTGTCTCTGCCAGCCCAAGGGGAGGAGGGGACGAGTTCTCTGTGCTTATCTCTGATGTGAATCCTTTATGTAGGTGCTGTTGAAGGCAGTGACCTCTCTGTGCAGCCAGCTATGTCTGTGTCCTGTGTGTGTCTTGGGCATCTGGACAAGCGCTCAGCTTCCCCACTGGATGAGCCTTCGGAAGGAAAAGGGGCAGTCACACCCCTCAGCCTGGGCAGAGACCCCACGTCTCTGGGCACAGGGCTGGGCTCCTGTGGCTGGGCAGGAGGAAGTCCTGGGCCAGGGCTGCTGGAGGTGGTGGCCACTAGTAACACCCTTTAACAATAACTACAGTCAATTTTGTAAGACTAATTTTTGATTATTATATCTTCTGTTATTCTATGAGAAATAATTACCCTCCCTTTTGGAAGTAGGTTGAGAAATAAGTATCAGTATTAAGGTACTCTATAAAATATGCGTATTCAAAATTACTTTTGGAATAAAATCTTTAACCTTTCCAAGAAACATTAGTCCACATAGTTTTTATATTTAGAAATAATTATACAGTTTCATATACGTAAGTAAAAAGAAAAAGTAATTATTTCTACAATAGATATAATTATGAAAAGGTTTTATGGAAAATGGAAATGTCAACCTTTAATTAAGATCATATTGGACTCATATTCCAAAATGTCTGTTTAACCAAAAATAAATATTCCCTCAATGCAGTGTATACTGAGGGGTTATAGTAAGAAATTATCACCAAAACAGGATAGGAAAAGGAAGGGTCCTACATTTTATAAGATTCATTCACTGTTGTTTCTGGTTTTATTAACATTTTGCTGCAATAAATTATTACACAGATTAAATGATTACCTAGAAACATACTGTTTTCTCTTGTTCAATCTTATTTTCATTTCAGAGAACTATTTCCATTTGTCCAGACCCAACACATCAGAAAAAAAATAATCCAGGTGTCAGGATGGCTACCTTTCTTAGTGTCCTGGGCCACCTAATTCTATAGTACTTAAAAAGTTGAAGAGAAAGTCTCACATTCATCCTATTAAACCTTGAGCATCTCATCTAGGAACACATTCTAGATTTTCTCTACATCTATCTAATCCTCAATTAAAATCCAGGTGAGAGGAGATGTGCAAGATACAGCAATTACCTCCAACCTGTATTCTTTTGTGAATGACGACTACTGATGTGGGATGAACCGGTGGACCAAGCCTTCAAGAGCTGATCTTGAAATAAATATATTAATCTTGTCTGCTTTTTGTTACTTGTTCCTTCATAAAATTCTATGATTTATCAGTAATTGTAGATGCACAGGTGCAGAGTACACTTTCCCGATATGCAAAGATGTGATATGAAAAGTAAAGCAAAGATCTGTGTTTGTAAAGATGTTCTCTGATGGTTGATGTACACTAGCACAGATCTTTAGCACTTCATGATGGGGTGAAAAGCACCAGGGTCCTGGAAGCATATGAGACATTGTTTAATTTAGAACAGTAGGCAGGATTATTAACACTTTCAGGAAATATTACTGAATTTTGGATGCCTACCTGCAGAGTGAGAAAATGAGTAAGTATTTAAACTTCAGCTTAAAACTTCTGAAGCTGCCAGTTCTTGGCACTCTAGAAAATCAGGCTGGAGGCATATGAAGTTATCTAGCTGAATATGATCAGTATTGCTGAATGTATCAACTACTTCTGGTAAGATTGGCCTTCAAGAAACCTAAGGAATTCCAGGCCCCTAGGAAGTCTGAAGCAAGGAAGACTTACCCTTGGAGGAGGAAGACCAGGTTAGGGAATATTTAAACAAACTGGACATACAGAATTCTATGGACCCTGATGTGATGCACTCGACTGCTTGGAGAGCTGGCCAATGTTATTCTAAGACTGCACTCAATTGCCTTTGAAAGGTCAATCAGGAGAAGATCTTGAGGAATGGAAGGGAGGAAATGTCACTCCTGTCTTCAAAAAGGACAAGAAAGAAGATCTGGGGAACTGCAGGCTGAGCAGCCTCACCTTGATTCCTTGGGAAAGTGACAGAGCAAGCATTTTCAAATGTATGAAGGACAAAAAGCTGATTAAGTCTAGTTGGCATGGATTTACAAAGGAGAGATCATGCCTGACAAATCTAATAATCTTCTACAATGAAATGAGTAGCTCCGTAGCTGACAGAAGAATAGTGGATGTTATCTTTTTTTTTTTTTTAAGATGTTTGACACTGCCTTCCATAACATCCTCCTCAACAAACTAGTGAAGTTTGGGCTACGTGAATTAAGTGAACTGTTGTGCTCAAAGGGTTGTATCAGCAGCTTGATGTCCAGATGGGGGTCAATCACTGGTGATGTACCCCAGAGGTTTATGCCAGGGCCTGTATTGTTCAACACTGTCATTAATGACCTGGATGATGCAACAACATGCTCCCTCATCAAGTTGGCAAATGAGAGAAAACTGGGAGAAGTGGTTGATACACTGGAGGGTTGTACTGCCATGCAGAAGGACCTGGTCAGGCTGGAGAAATGGACTGATGAAATTCATGAAGTTCATGAAGTTCAACAAGGGGAAATGCTGAGTCCTGTTCTTGGGGAGTGTACTGAATGTACTTGGTAGGGGTTTGGTATGGGGGGAGGGGCTTCAGGGGTGACCTGTGTAGGAGGAGATCAAGGACTGCCCTGTGCTGGTAGCTGGTTCCATCCAGCTCAGCAACAGAAAAGCAGATCCACCATGTGCCAAAACTAGAACCACTCAGATGAGTTTATGCTGTTTCTTCAAAGACATCTTTGCGAAAGGACAGTGACCATTATGAGACACAAGAGAAATGCGAGGGCAGGAGGGATGCCAGAGCAGGAGAGACACCAAAGGAAAAGAGAAGACACAGGAGCAGAGGCAGGAGAGACCTGCAAGGCCTGGAGTCCAACTATCTGAAAGCAGCTTTGTGGAGAAGGCCCTGGGGGTCCTGAGACACAACAAATTGACCATGATCTGACAATGTGCCCCAGTGGCAAAGAAGGCCAGTGGCATTCCAGGCTGCATCGGGAAAAGCATTGCCAGCAGATTGAGGAAGGGCATCCTTCCCCTCTACTCAGCTCCGGTGAGGCCACATCTGAAGTACTGTGTCCAGTACTGGGCTCTCCAGAACGTGACACAGATATACTGGAAGAGGTCCAGTTCAGGGCCATGAAGATGGCTAAGGGGCAGGAATAGATAATATATGAGGAGAGGCTGAGAGCTGTGATTGCTTAGCCTGGAGAACAGAAGCCTGGAGGAGAAGGGGAATCACATCAATGTGATGGGATACATAAAAACATGATGAGAGGGCGTAAAGCAGAGGGAGCCAGGCTCTTTTCAGTGGTATTCAGTAAAAGGACAAAAGCAATGAGCACAAATTGAAATAGAGAAAATCCCACTTAGAAAAAAATCTTTTTTTACTGCAAGAGTGGTGAAACACTGGAACATGTTGCCAAGAGAGGTAACTCAAAACATGACTGGACACAGTCCTGATGACTTGCTATAGATAACCCTCCTTTGAGCTGGACTAGATGATCTCCAGAGGTTTCTGCCCATCTTAGTGATTCTGTGACTCAGTAATTCTGTGATTCTACAGTTAAAGTTATTAAAAAGGCTGTTTCAGACATTCTGAAAGCATTTACAAATTTGAGTTGAATGTGCTATATGTGGTTCTTGTTTCTAGATTAGAAAACAAAATCATCAGAAGATGAGGTAGTAAGGTTTTCTGTAATGCAGCAGCTCAGTGTTCGGAACACTATTGCAAGAGGTGGAAGACCTCTGTTCAGTTTCCTACTCTGCTTAAGTCTGTTTGAACCTATGATAACTTACCTTCCAAGGAATTCCTGTGCAAGTGTCAAGCTTCATTCCAGATGCATCACTGTCACTCCCTTTTGCTGGAAGTATTTCTTTTTCAGGTTGTACTGAAATGACTTCATCAGTCGTTAGGATAGCAGTTGTTAGGATAGTCATAAGAAGAGTTCCACAAATGAGTTTAATTTCCCCTTCTGAAGAGGTTTTATTCTACAAATAAGTGGCCATAAAGGATGACAGGATAACCCATTCCATACTTGTCCTAGTAGAATATTGTGCTGGGAGCTCAGAATGCAAGTTTAGTTCACTCTCATTGAGAAGGAGTAAAATTCAGATGCCACACATACTGGGCATGTTTTGTGACCACTAGGTGGTTGTTCAAAGGAAGACTACTTATATTATCACCTGTATTGTGGATTTAACTTTTTTTTTGTTTGTTTTTCTGGAAAATGCTTCAGGAGACTAGACCGCTTTTATTGTCCTTGGCAAGGAGGGAAGCATTGTTTTGGCAAGAAAGGATGAAAACCAGTTTGATGACAGTGTTTTAAGTTTATTTTTATATACTTGAGTGCTGAGTCAAAAGTCAGCTGTGAAGGTAACTATAAACTGAGGCTCTTACTGTAAATTGAATTGAATTCACAGAGAATGGAAAAATAAAAGAACAAACCAAATCGAACCACAGACTTGTGATTTTTACTCAAGGTTTGTTGAGTGCTGTGGTCAACTGAGATGCTATTTTCCTTTTATGAACAATGTTACAACATATGACTGCGATAGCACTTACAATTATGTTGGGTTGTGTGGAAGCACTGAGGGTAATCCACTTCCATTGCCTAGAAATTAATCATTGCAGAAATTGCTGTTCTTTCTTCCTTCACTGAACTAATTTAGAGAGATGTTAATAACAGAACATTATGTACTTTTTGCCATTCCTTTTCTCTTCCCATCCGATGGCATTTGCTCACAGAGAAACTGATTTTCTATTAGCTCCTGCTAAATACATCAGCTACAAAATACATTAAGATAGCCACAAAAATCTTAAAGTGCATATGAAGAGAGAAAAAGTATGACAACAGAATATGGTTTTAATTGTCTTCAATGATAAAAAAAACAAAACAAAACAAAACAAACAAAAAAACCCCCATCATGGCTGGAGCTGCTGAGATTTGTCAAGCAGGCCATACAGGTGGAATGATAAAAGCATTGGTTATAACCATAGACAAAATCAGATTATTTGGTGGAGGAGATTGTATGTGATAACACAAACACCACTGCTACATTCAGAAGGATATTGGAAATCTGGTCTTAATTTTTCTATTCCTTTTACCATTCAAAAATTGCATCAGCATTTAATCACATTCCTCTCAGATTACTGAGGCTTCCCCTGGATACCCATCCTCTTGACAGCTTTCTTTGGAGAAGGGGCATGTAATCTCCTGCACTGATTGTTTTCTTGGGTGTCTGCACCAGTTCCAGAAGGGCCAAAGAAATTGTTTTTCATGAATCCAGTCTTGAGGGAAAAGAAGAAGTTTTATCCTCACCTACAGCTGTTTAAGGCACAAAAAAACCCCCTACAAGCCAACCAAAAACAAAACAAAACAAAACAAAACCACAACAAAAAAAGCATAATTTGGAGGTTATTTGAGATACTGGCATCTAGTTTGTCGCACAGGGCTCGACATCCTTCACTGAGATGACCAAACACATATTCATCTTTCACCTTGCATTAGTAAGAGTAGAGACTGGTCATCGCCCCAGTGAGCATACAAGAAGTGAAACAGGGGAAGGACAAAAGAAGAAATTTGTAGGTTGAATAAAAATAAAGTTAGCAATACTAACAAAAACAACAGTAACAATAGTAGTCCAAAATGGGTAAAATGCAGCGTAGTAGTGAGCGGTGACCAGTACAGAGCCCATCCCCAGCAGCAATCTGAGTGCACCAGAGAATCCTGCTCTGCCGATCTGGAAACCCAAAACGAAAAAAATGCGTGTGCATGCATCTGCCTATATACACTGAAGATGACATCACATGACATGGAATGCTCCAATGATCAATTAGGACCTGGCCCTTCAGCTGTGCTCCCTCTCAGCCCAAGGAACATTAACTATCCTGGCCAAAACCAGGACAATACATAAAGGATAAGAAGAAAGGACTCCACAAGTGTGCTAGTAATTAGAGGACGTTCAGGGAAAATGTGGCACCTTTTTGGATGAGGAAGACCAAGTAATGGATGATACAGAAAAGTCTAAAGTACTCAGTACTTTTTTTTTTCTTAGTCTTCACAGTGAAAATTCACTCCCAGCCCTTCTCATGTACAGTCTGAGATCATAGAATCATAGGATAGTTTGGGTTGGAAGGGACCTTTAAAGGTCATCTAGTTCAATCCTCTCTACAATGAGCAGGGACATCTTCAAGTACATCAAATTGCTCAGAGCCCCATCCAAACTGGCTTTGAATGTTTCCATGGGGCATCTACTACCTCTCTGGGCAACTATTCCAGTGTTTCACTGCACTCATTGTAATTTTTTTTTCCTTATATCTAGTCTAAATCTGAGCTCTTTTAGTTTAAAACCATTACCCCTTGTTCCATTGCAACAGGTCTTGCTAAAAAGTCTGTCCCCATCTTTCTTATTAGCCCCCTTTAAGTACTGAAAGGTCACAATAAGGTCTCCCTGGAGTCTTCTCCAGGCTGAAAACCCAGAATTTCTCAGCCTGTCCTTCACAGGAGAGGTGCTCCAGCCTGCTGATCATTTTTGTGGCCCACCTCTGGACCCACTCCAGCAGGTCCACGTCTTTCCTGTGCTAAGGGCTCCAGAGCTGAACACAGTACTCTAGGTGGGGTCTCATGAGAGCAGAGTGGAATAATTTCCCTCAGCCTGCTGGCCATGCTTCTTTTGATGCAGTCCAGGATACAGTTAGCCTTCTGGGCTGCAAGCACACACTGTCAGCTCATGTCCAGCTTTTCATCCACCCCAAATCCTTCTCTGCAGGGCTGCTCTCAATCCCTTCATCCCCCAGCCTGTATTGCTACCAGGAATTGCCCTGTTCCATGCGCAGGACCTTGCACTTGACCTTGTTGAATCTCATGAGGTTTGTGTGGGCCCACTTCTTGAGTTTATCCAGGTCCTTATGGATAACATCCCATGCCTCAGGCATGTCAACTACACCACTCAGCTTGGTGTCATCTGCAAACCTGCTAAGATAGAGTGGTACAACTAGCAGTGGGGGAGCAGCAGATTGGGGGCTACTTAGAGAAGCTGGTAGTAGTGAGAATTGTAGGGCTGTATGAGATTCATTCAAAGGTGTTGAAATAGCATGCTATTGTGAGGAGGTTGACTATCATCTGCAGAAAGTAGATGACAACTGCAGAAGTTCTGCGCCAGCTGGCAAAAGTCTAATGTTATGCTTATCTTCATAAGAACTAGGAAGCACCTTGGGAACAATAGCCTGATCAGCTTCACTTCAGTCCTGGAAAGGTCTCAGAGCATGTCTCCTTGCAATCCATTTTCAATTACTTTAAAGACAAGAAGGTAATAAGGAACAGGCAGCCTGAATTTACCAGCTGCAAACCCTGCTTAATCAACAAGACTGTGAGAAGTTTAGCAGGTGATGGTAAATTGAGGGGCTTGAGCAGAGGGCTGAAATGTAAGGCTTTAATCCAGAAGGAAGTTGAGAAGCTTGAGGGCTGATCCAGGAGAAATCTCATGAAGCTCAGCAGAAAGAAGTGTGGAGTTCTGCTCCTGGGGCAGAATAACACCATAATAATAACAGTTTGGGGAGCAGCTGGCAGTGTAGCGGCCTGCTGAAAAGGACTTGGAGGTTACAATGGATGTGGGGTAGTGTTACAAGCATACTACATCTATACTAAGATTAAAATGAGTCTTTCATCTCTGTTTATGAAATACAGAGAACTCATAATTGCTTTGGCAATCTCATTGTGAAAGACATTTATTTGATATCCTGCTTTTTTTCATTTCCTGTGAACATTCATGTTATTGGACCAGTCAGAAATACTTGTAATAACTTTAAAAAGTTAAGTTCTTACCAAAATACTCATCAGTTCTAACTTTGCATTTAATATTCCCATTAACAATTGGGAAATTATTTTAATTTACATATTGAAACATACCTCTAAGCTAGCTAACAGAATAGTTTTGAGATTCAAATGCTAACAGATGCATGCTATTTATTAAAAGTCTCAGACCTCTGAAGAGGAGGTCTAAACTAGACTAAATCCCAAACTGTGCTCCAGAAGTGCTTGGGGCAGTATTGCCTGGTTGAGGCTGCCAGGTATGGTTATAGCAGTTAATCAATTTAGACAGTTGAGTTGTCATGCCTGTTTCTTTTACTATGCTGCTTAATTTACTTATATAGAGATAGAAAAATGGCCTGAGAAGGCCCAGTAAGGAAAACAAATCCCAGCAGGCAACATGGCAACAGGAAGCTTTAAAAAAGAAAGAAAAAAAAAAAAAGGGGAAAAAGAAAGTCTTAGCCCAGTGCTATATCTTAAGTGTAAAAGACTTTAAATTTGTATGTAGAAAATAATTTTTTTATTTATGTATGCTTTATGAACAGCAAAAGTGATCTGGCAGGATGAAAATTTCTGGTCATGACATCATGTGACCCAGACTAATTACACCTAATGATCTTAAAGAAAGCACTCAGAAAGCTCTGCGCACATCATAGAGTTTAGTGAATCATACATTAGGAATTAATCTTTGAAAATGGAAAAAAATCTGGAAGATATCTGCTCACATATTTCTAATATTTAGATATGGTAAAAAGGGGGAAACAGAGCATCTCTTCTAAGCAACATAATAGCTAATTCAGGGCCAGCAGCAAAGACTTGGCATATATCTGACCAGCATAGAGTGACTGAGTCTATACTCACATTTGAACCATTGCAAGAGGTAATTATAAAAGAGAAAAAAAAAAAAAAAAAAAAAAAAAAAAAAAAAAGTAACCTTGTGATGTAAAGCTTGAAAAGCACACTCTGTCCATCTAGTCAGAGAGAATCTATGGAGGCCACTTATCCATACCAAGTAATGGGTATTTATCTGGTGTGGGAAATAAAGTTTTTCAGTCCTACAGAGAACAGCATGAGATAGCACAGCTGCTAGAAGTTGAAGCCAGGCCACTTCCCTGAGGATGAAAATTAAACATTGGAATAGTTCATCAGAAGTGAGGGAATGTTAAGCTCTTGCAGAGGTATTGAATTTCATTTTAAAAGCCATTCATTGATCCATCTCCTGGAAGCAATCCTGTAGTCAGTGTTCAGAGCGAGCCTGAGCAGATCACCATGGAGTCCCATGACAACACTTGAGTTTCTCTGTACCGATCCACCCCAGTGTAATGACTTGACACATCAGACTGGATCAGAGTCCTCAGTGCATGTCCTTTCATGCCCTATGCCCAGATCCTGGCCAGGAGCCCAGTACGGGCCAGTATCTCTGCAACCACCAGAGCAAGACAGGTCCCATCTTGAAGCTAGACACACTGCTAATACTAGCCCCACAGGGGGCTAATACTAGCCTGGTTCAAACACGCTTGGTTTGGGGGCATTACAGGCTTGTTTTGAATTTCTACCTATCACTGTCATTCATGTTAGTCTTTGGACAAAAGGACTTCTCAGCTTGAAAACCTTCCACTTATCTCCCACTGCATCGATGCCCAAAAGAGCTGCTCAGGTTGTTAAAAGCAAACAGCACCTTATCCCCCACACCAACCAAATGCTTCCTCATAGTTTTTAATGTCTGACTGTTGGGAGACAACTGAAAATAATCCTACTGTGGCTGTGAAAAGGAGAGCTGGAATTAACACTTTAATGATTGTTAAGAAGACCTGACAACAATAAAAGAGGATAATTATTAATAATTTAAAGAGCAGACTGTTGTTACAAAAATGTAATTCCTAAATTCAGTTCTCTCTCCTCTCTTCTGAACTAATAAACATTTTCTGGTTTTCCAGGTTTAAGCCTCTCACCAGCCCCCAACACACTGTGTCTATGCTAGGACATTATTAACACTGTTAGCAATCCATTAGTCAAGGTTCCTAGAGAAGGAGGTTTGGAAAACCCAGAGGTTTTGTCTGTAGTAGTAAATAATGTAGACTGGCTGACACTGCATAAACTGAAGGCCGGCTGACACACACAGTTCAGTTTTCATCTCCACAAAACTAGGAGGTGGGAACATCTGAACTACACTGGGATGAGTCACAGAATCACAGAATCACAGAATCATCTAGATTGGAAAGGACCCTGGAGATCATCTAGTCCAACCGTTCTCCTAGCACAGTTCCCACCTACAGAATATCCTTAAGATCTAAATCAACCCAACTCTTGAACACCTCCAGGGATGGGGACTCCACCACCTCCCTGGGCAGCCCATTCCAATGCCCAACAACCCATTCTGGAAAGAAATGCTTCCTAATATCCAGTCTAAACCTTCCCTGGCACAACTTGAGGCCATTACCTCTTGTCCTATCACTTGTTACTTGGTTAAAGAGACTCATCCCCAGCTCTCTGCAACCTCCTTTCAGGGAGCTGTAGAGGGCGATGAGGTCTCCCCTCAGCCTCCTCTTCTCCAGACTAAACACCCCCAGTTCCCTCAGCCGCTCCCCGTACGACCTGTGCTCCAGACCCTGCACCAGCTTCATTGCCCTTCTCTGGACACGCTCGAGTCATTCAATGTCCTTTTTGGAGTGAGGGGCCCAAAACTGAACACAGGAATCGAGGTGAGGCCTCAGCAGTGCCGAGTACAGGGGTCAGATCCCTTCCCTGTCCCTGCTGGCCACGCTATTGCTGACACAAGCCAGGATGCCATTGGCCTTCTTGGCCCCCTGGGCACACTGCTGGCTCCTGTTCAGCCGGCTGTCAATCAACCCCCCCAGGTTCCTCTCTGACTGGCAGCTCTCCAGCCACTCCTCCCCAAGCCTGTAGCGCTGCTGGGGATTGTTGTGGCCCAAGGGCAGCCCCCGGCATTTGGCCTTATGGAAACTCCTCCAGTTGGGCTCAGCCCATGGCTCCAGCCTGTCCAGGTCTCTCTTCAGAGCCTCCCTGCCCTCGAGCAGATCAACACTCCCACCCAACTTGGTGTCACCTGCAAATTGACTGAGGGTGAACTCGATCCCCTCGTCTAGATCATCAATAAAGATGTTAAACAGGAGTGGCCCCAACATCGAGCCCTGGGGGACACCACTCGTGACCGGCCGCCAACTGGTTTTAACTCCGTTCACCACAACTCTTTGGGCCCGGCCATCCAGACAGTTTTTTACCCAGCGACATGTGCGATTGTCCAAACCTCAAGCAGTCATTTTTGCCAGGAGAATGCTGTAGGAAATGGTGTCAAAAGCCTCGCTAAAGTCAAGATAAATTACATCCACAGCCTTTCCCTCATCCAATAAGCAGGTCACTCTGTCATAGAAGGAGATCAGGTTTGTCAGGCAGGACCTGCCTTTCATAAACCCATGTTGACTGGGCCTGAGCATCTGGTTGTCCCTCATGTGTTGTGTGATGGTACTCAGGATGAGCTGCTCCATCAGCTTCTCGGGCACCGAAGTCAAGCTGACAGGCCTGTAATTTCCCAGATCATCCTTCCAACCCTTCTTATAGATGGGCGTCACATT